TTTGGATTGCTTTGCAATGGTACAATTCTGATACACTTGGGATGTTTTGTGTGGTGTTTTGAGGTGCTTCTTCTTGGTTTTTTGTTTGGATACAGAAGACAACAACATGATCGAATATGAAATCAAAAATAAAAACACGATTATTGAGATCGATAAATCAAATGTGGACATCCAATGTAAATTTTTTCAATTTTCACATCCGATAATGTTTATCTATATTTAAATTATATTTCTATTTTTTAATTATTTTTATATTTATTATAATTTTTTTTTGATGAGTTTTTTTGATTATTAATTTTTAGTTAGTATATTTATTAATATGAATTTATTAAAATTAATAAAATTATTTTAGAATAAAAAACAACTTATATATCGAATATGAGAATTCAATATATTGAATGTTTTCATTATACGTAAATATACCTATACATAGAATGTGGATATTTGATGTTTCGATTTTATGTCTGATATTCAATTTATGTTTAATATTTTACATAAAAAAATTATTATATTACTTATATAATTATTTTATTAATTTAAATAATTATATTTAAGTTTATGTATTGATTTTATGAATTTATATTTAATTAGACAATATTTAATTGTTAAAAAATATTTTTATGATTTTTGAGATTAATATAAATATTTTAGAAAAATAAATTGTTAAGATAAGATTTGTTTTTACTTTTTCACCAAATCTCATTAACAATATTAAAAAGTAATATATTTCAATTTCATCAATCGTTTTAGTTCTATTAAAAAAACTTAAAAATCTTTCTAATATATCAAAGTATTGATATCAACTGCACAATCCCACAAAATTAACCAGTTATTGATTTATGAACTTTAAAAGGGAAACTGTGAAACATATATAAGCTAATCAACTTCCCATGAGAAACTGTGAAACATATATAAGCTAATCAACTTCCCATGACACCGTTACAGTACCAGATACGTCAATATTTACAATGTCACCATCCTCAAGCTTGATTCATGGAGAAATGTGAATATCTTTACTTTATTTAATCTCCATAATATGATATTACAGGAATTAAAAGAGTTATATAATATAAATAAAATTAAATATAATTCATATTGTATATAGTTAAAAAGTATAAAATAAAGAGTTAATAATAATAATTTTAATAGAAGAGCATGAAAATAAGAAGGAGGATTTGGTGGTGTAGGAGAAGAAAAATACAGGTAAGAGGGGTATACTTTTATTATAAATTATTTAAATTTTATTTTTAAATCTTTTCAAACATGTACAAACATTAAAGTTGGACAGACGGAAAACAGGGACCTAAGCACTTTAAGTTGCGTGCTAGTTCCACTGTAACTTAACCTTGGTAAAAGGAAATTACAAAAGAAATAAAAGAACTGTCGTTAAAATTGTTTCAACAAAATACAAAAACTCAATATATGTTGAGTTAAGAAATATTCAATATATGATAGTGTAAAGGCTATGAAGTTAAGAGGAACATGCAGATATGAGGAAATTGAAAAAGAAAATATAGAATATTATGACTTATAAAAAAATTAATGTAAATACTGTTATAGTTATTTATTTTTGATGTATTTTTATTAGATGTGATTATTATAACCCAATCAACATTATTCTTCCTTATTCAAATCATGTTATTCTTGATATTTTATAAAAAATATTTACATTTTCTGTTATCAAAAGCGAGATTCACGTAGAAGTATAAAAAGATTATTTTAAGTAAGTTTTGATTCGTGTTATATTTTTTTATTAAAATAAATTCATGTGATGTTCGTATGTCCGTGTCATCTCAGAATACATCATGTCTTCCCTTTAAATAGGATGTGTTTGTATAACAGAAAGCTATTTGACACCGCATCTAACACTCATATTTCACCTTAATTAATAAATATCAACATCATAAAAATACATTGGTTTCATCATATATCTATCTCAAATAATCAAAGAAGAAAATAAGATTAACATACAAATTGACGCTTAACGTCATGCTTCTTGCAAAAAGTGGCATTTAATGGTACTTGTCCACCACTAAGAATTAAACCATTTGTAAAAACTGGTGTTTAATTGGCACGGCCCGACGTTAACATTTGAAGCAAAAATGCTCTCAAATTTACAGTGTAACCTGACACTCAATGCAAATTTGATATCGCTCAACATTGTATCATATGACAACAAAGACATTTTTGTGATTCTGAGAGAACTTAGACATGTTCCATTACTCAAATTGGTAGTTCTCTCTTAATGCATTGGTTCAAAACAATTTTAAAACATTTGAACTCGTACCAATGATAAGTGTGAAAAAGAGTTGTTTTTACACTATAAATGATCTCAATCTTCTAATTATTCATGTATTACTCAGTGAAATGTTGTAATAGGAAGTAGAGTATTTGTAAATTATTGTACAGGAATTGATGTATAATTGGGAGTCTATCAGCTAATTCTCGCATAGCGCAAGCCAAAGCTCGCACTGCCAGGAAATGGAAATTCACATAGCGCACCATACTTGTGCGCTGTGCGAATAACATCAGTTGAGAGCAGCGGTTACACGAAATTCGCATAGCGCACACACACTTGTGCGCTGTGCGAATTAAGAAAGTTTTTGGTTTTAAAAGACGTGACAGAAAGGCAAAACCATCTTCTGACACATGAAAATAACCAGAAAATAATGGAGAATTCAGAAGATGATCAGGAGACCTGTCAAGATATCAAGACTTCACTTTCTGCAAGGAATTGCTGTAAAGAGTACGTTTGAGATGTCTAGGATAGGCTAAATTTTCTGTTCATTGGAATGGTTGTATGACGAATTATTATGTAAATTTTCTGTGCAATATATGTTTCTGTTCTTGTTCTTTTCTTGACTTAATCTTGATTATACGGAAGTATTGATCTTCTTAAAGGTTCTGTTGTACTGGGAAGTATTTTTAGAACCAGAAACGTAAGAAAAGAACTTAAAGTAACTACGCTAGGAATGACTTCTGTGCTTTTGGTCATTCTCAACATCTGATTTTAATGCAAAATTATCTGATGAATAATTAAGGAATTAATAATTCAATAGATAATTTTAGAACTTGTTTTAAGGAATTAAACCAAGATACTCTCATGTGAATGCTTGAACAGAGAATATATGTTGTCCAGGATTTTACTGTAATATTAGTCAAAGACCAATTCCAGTGATCTTTTATCGCATTTTTCAAATCTTATTTTTGTTTACGTTTAATTTAATGTTAAAATCCAAATTGAAATCACAAAGATAATCAGTAATTGATCTTGATAAATAATTTTAATTGATTAACGTAACTCAATTCCCTTGGGAGAACGATACATTTTTACTTATCACTGTATTGCTTGGAACGATTTGGTATACTTGCCAAAAAGTTATCAACCAATTTGCTAAATTCCTTAGATTCTAACTTTCCTAATAACTTAATTTGATTCTCAAAAGAAACGTGTCACAAATAAAATCAATAAAAATAAACAAACGAATGAACCCAAATACTTACAAGCAAAAATAAAATATTAAGTCTGTTAATGAAATATAAGAAAGAAAATATAAATTTTTCTTTTGCATCTAACTAAAATTTTATCTAAAAATATTAAATTATTAAAATATATTTTGTATGAAATATTTAAATGGTACATCCTTTGCCAAGTCCTGTGACGCGTTCACTAAAAAAAAATCCTTTTATAGCGAATCATTTATAAGAAAAATAATAAGCTAACACAAAAGCGGAAAAAGTATTATTAACTTGGTCCAGAGCATCTACCATTATACCTACAATGATTGGCCATACCATTGCTATCCATATGTGGCATAGGAGTTACATCTCGTATAAAATTTAATAGTATACCACTTCTACGAATAGCTCTTAATGCTGCATCTCTTCGGAGGCCAGACCTTTTATCATGATTTCTGCTCGTTGCATGCCTTGATCCGATACTGTTCGAATAGCATTTCTTGCTGCAGTTGAGCGCAAAAGGTGTTCCCCTTCGTGTACCCTTGAATCCGCAAGTACGGCGGAGGACCAAGAATCACCCGACCTTGTACATCTGTAATAGTCACAATAGTATTGTTGAAACTAGCTTGAACATGATAATTCCTTTGTATTTTACAAGTATGATTACGCGAAGCAATACGTACATTTTTACGCGAACCGTGGTGGATCACATATCTAAATTTGTCAGACATCCCAATATAAATCAAAATCATACTTTAATTGCATGGGACCACTCAAAAGCTTAAATTAAAGAGGATCCTTAAACCAAGAACTGACAACCACCCACTCACAAGCAATTAAAAATCTTACACAACAAAACATTACCCACTGACACGAAAAATAACATTTTACTGGATTGTTCAAAACATCACTGAACCAAAATGGAAAACCAACATAATGCGACAAAAATCTTAAACCTTACAACAAAAAACCAACCATTGATTAAGAATACAAACCTAACCTATGCGATGATCAATCCTTCGAATTTCAATGGAAAAATGAACCAAATGTAACATACCATGATAATCTTGCATTCAATTTCCATGAACCTTCTAAATTTCACACACAAGTTTTTTTTTAAAACCTAAATAATCAAATTAATTCCATGGTTATACATGACAAAAATGACATGTCATTCAGTGTTCAAGTATACAGTGTTTCATTAAGTACTTAGATAAAGTTATGAAAAAGGATTTAAATGAATATAAATTACAAAAATTAAGAGTTAATTAAACATTAAAAAAATAAATCTCACATGAATAATTAAACATTCGAAAAAAAATAAATCCTTCGTAAAAATAAAGAGCAAAGAATATTTAAGTCTAAATTTTATCATAAATTTTATATAAATTTTTATTCTTTTATTTTAAATTTTGATGTGATTGGTAAATAATTAATAGGCTTCTAGTTACCTTTATTTGAAGTAGATTTTAGTTATAATGAGACAACTAAATATTTTTTTCAACCTGCCGCATTAATAGTTGTATGAAAATTGTTGATCCAATAAAATAAAGAGGCGTCACTATGATGATGCTACAAATCTGTGTTGAGTATCCATCCAACACAGTTAGTAGCTGATGAGACAGAGCCTTCGGATTTCTCTTCAGTTGTGTCGCAATTCAAGAGTCCCATGGCGGCTTTGTCTTCCACATCCCTTCCAAACCTTCCCAAATTTTCATCCCACAAATTCAATTTCCACCCACAACAGCTACTCAGTTTACGCCCTCGCTCCCCAAAATCGAAGCCAAACAACCCCTTATTTTTTACCAGAGTCCCAACCTCTACATGCGAGCGCTGCAACGTGTTCAGCGAGGAACTGATCGGAAGCGTGGCGGAGGAGGAGGGTTACAGCAGCTCCATGGACGATAGGCAATTCGTGCGTTGGTTCCGTGAGACGTGGCCGTACTTGAGGGTCCACCGTGGTGCGACCTTCGTTGTCATCGTTTCCGGTGAAATTGTTGCTAGTCGTTACTTGGATCCCATTCTCAAGGTACCTCCAAATATTTCATTTCTTTTTATTTTACTGGTTCTTTCAGACACAGATAAATGTATCAAATTGTTTTTTGGAATGTATCCTCGCAGGTATTATATGAGAGAGAAATATTGCATAGTCTGGGATCAAAATGTGTTTATGATCTTAATCAGTTTGTGTGACTCATACTTCAATGTTTCTATGTATGAAAAAGAATTAATAAAGGGTGGTGTGATGGAGAGATTAGTTGAGACTATGATGGTCCTGGATCGTGTGATAATTTCTCTTAGGCAAATAATCCTGGGTAGGATGATGCAAATTTCCTTTCAAGAACTTAATTATATATAAAATTGTTGAATTAATTAATTTTCTTAAGAAGGAAATATTTTCTAGATTAATCTCATACTTAGCTCCGTAATGTGCGTGCAGGATATAGCCTTTCTTCATCACCTGGGAATCCGGTTTGTTCTTGTTCCGGGGACCCATATGCAAATTGACAATCTTTTGCGTGAGAGAGGTGAGTCATACTTGCGTCACAGGGAAATGAAGCCATGATATGAATATGAATGGGTGCTGGTGGCTAGTTTTCTTAATGTAGTGAAAGTGACTATTTTTTATGATCTTATGTTGATTGATACATGACAACCCCACTAGAGAGAATTGAAATTTCAGCTGGTGTGAATGAGCATTGATTAGTGATGTTGCTATTTTGTAGGGAGAGAACCTAAGTATGTTGGTCCATATAGGGTAACTGATGATGAGTCTCTAGCAGCTGCAATGGAAGCAGCTGGGAGAATAAGATTGATGATTGAAGCGAAGCTTTCTCCTGGACCCTCCATTTGCAATATTCGTCGACATGGTGACAATAGCCGTTTGCATGAAGTTGGTGTCAGTGTTGCAAGTGGAAACTTTCTTGCAGCCAAGGTTTGAATTCTGTGATTCAATTTTCTTCATATTATTTGGAGAACATGGTTTCTTTTAATTCCTTTGTTCTGTTGTTGCGGTATCAATGAGATCCCAATGTTATCCCCCCTTTTTTTTGGCTCAATTCCTAATCTTCTAATTTCATTCGAATTTTAAAAAAGACCCCTAGTTATTAGTTTTTCCAATTTAGTCCTTTAGTTTTTTAAAAACATCAAATTTGGTCATTTTTCCAATTTAGCAGCTTGTTAGTTTCCTGCTTGACCATGAATGGTGATTTAAAAAGAATAAACCTAAGATCTTGGTGGATTGAGAAGAATATTAGCATATGGTTGGTTGAAAATTAAAGGACCAGCGAGCAATCAAAATGACCAAATGGGATGTCTTTAAAATACTAAAGGAATAAATTTGATGTTTTTAAAAAACTAAAGGACTAAATTTGATGTTTTTAAAAAAATAAATTACTAAATTAGAAAAACCAACAACTAGGGGTCTTTTTGAAAATTCGAATGAAATTATAGGACCAAATTAGGAATTAGGCTTTTGTTATTCTGTTTTCTGCTTCTGTCACTGTTTTAGAGCAAGTCCTTTTAAACATTTTGTTTGGCAGAGAAGAGGGGTTGTCAAAGGAGTTGATTTTGGGTCAACTGGGGAGGTTAAAAAAGTAGACGTTTCTCGCATGCGTGAGAGGCTTGATGGCAACTGCATTGTTATTTTAAGCAACTTGGGTTACTCCAGCTCTGGAGAAGTATTAGATTGCAAGTATGCTTTAGAACCTCTGATAATTCCTTTTTACAACCTGGTCATTCTTGATTGCTTCGTGACATGTATATTCTGTTATACAATGTTTGTAATTTTGTATTTTTAATCTGCTATATTTTTCCCTCATGCTCTATTATTATTTGACTATTGTAGAAAGCCTCAATATTTTATGTTGTTCATATTTTCAATTGGGAGGTTAGCCATGGACCAACCGGGAGGCTGTTGCCTCGTGACTAGGTCAAAGGTTCTAGTTGTTGTTCAGCCTCTGCTCTCAAGTGAGTACGGCTTTCTAGATTTTACCATTCCTAAAAAACCATCATTGAAGAAGCTTACTGTCTATCATCAGTTATGTTTCTTATATCAATACCTTGGAGAATACTGATATTTTTTTTTTTCAGGGCTAGATTTTAAAGGTTGGAGTTAGACATAGATGGGAAGAAACAGCTTCATGCAGAATGTGTTAAAATAAAATCATAGAAAGTTAGTTTTTTGAAAAAACAATTAAAAATACATTTACAAAGTTTCACAGTTATTCAGTACGCAAAATAGTTTATTATAGAACTTGACACCTTGTGGAATGTGAAAACAAAATACTGAGGAAATAATACAGGTTTTTGCTAACTATTTTGTTTGTGAATCAGATTTACCCTTGTATCAATGTGTTCGATTTATTTTTCTTTTGAATGTTGCTATATAGTACTTGGACGTGATCCAGCAGATAAAAGGAAATGCTTGAACACTGGACACTGATGATTTGTTTTCCACAGTACCTATGAAGTTGCAACAGCTTGTGCGTTGGCAATAGGAGCAGACAAGCTTATATGCATTATGGATGGTCCGATCCTGGATGAAAGTGGACACCTTATTCGCTTCTTGACTCTTCAAGAGGCAGACATGCTAATCCGTAAACGGGTTGAACAAAGTGAAACAGCTGCTAACTATGTCAAAGCTGTTGCGGAAGAAAGTTTCAACACACTTAATAAATTTAATGGGGATCCGCGGAATGGAAATCCGTTTTCAGGACTTCATATTGCAACCTTCCATAATGGTGTTGGTTTTGACAGTGGGAATGGCCTTTGGTCTGGGGAGCAGGGTTTTGCTATAGGAGGTCAGGAGTCCCTAAGTCGGACGAGTGGTTACCTGTCAGAGCTAGCTGCAGCAGCTTTCGTTTGCAGAGTAAGTTGATGATTCAACTTTTCCTTCATGCCATTGGTTATTTAGGTCTACATTGTGCTTTAGTATCTTCAGTCACTGAAAGTCTAAAGTTTTTATTTTCATTGCATCTTGTTCTGTTCAATTATGGCAGACAGGTTTGTTTCATTATTTTTTGCAAACCAAATAGTTTTAAAAAACTTGTCAAGTGACTGATTTTTATAAATATGGACACCTCAATGTAACTATTTTTTTTTTATAAACTACCTGTTTTTTCCAGTTATTTTTCCTATCACTTCATTATCATACTGAAATTCCTTGAGAAGCTGTTTTTTCAAATAAGATGGCAGTGCTTGAAATCCCAGTTAATATATTGCTAAATATAACTTCTGTCTGTCAGGGCGGTGTTCAAAGAGTTCATTTGTTGGATGGCACTATTAGTGGAGTTCTATTGTTGGAATTGTTCAAGAGAGATGGGATGGGGACAATGGTGGCTAGGTAGGCAAATTTTGTTTATCTCTGGATTATTTTCTTCTTATTGTTATGATATTTTCTCTATTACTTGGTAACTAATTGGTGATAGTTACAGTACTATGGTAGGTTGTATCCTTCATTCGATGAACTAAACTGTTACGTTTCTTGATTATTTTCTGTTATTGATGTTAATAAATCATAATTTTAGTTTGCATTCCTGTGGATTTTCTGCTAGAGTCACCACATCGCATTGGTTATACCATTGAGAAGCAAACTTTTTTGTAGTTGTCTATGATCATTCTCCTGTTTTACATTTTAAGGATAGATGAATTAGTCGAAATATATTAGTTATAAAGAGAGTAAACTGGTTAAATTCAACCATTCCATGCCCATATACTGCACCCTTGAAAGAAATTTTTGCCTGCCTTTATTTTCAAACCCCAAAAATTAATTAATGCCAAAATGATGTTCATGGGATAACCATTTCTGCTATTGCCTACTAGCATAAACTATGTGGCAGATTGCCGAAGGTGTTATAGATGATTGAGGTTTTTTTTTTTCTTTATCTAGTTATGTTTTCTTAAAGCTTTTTAATCTTCATTTGCTTGCCTTCAATTAATTTTGCAGTGACCTTTATGAAGGCACCCGGATGGCTCAAGGAACAGATATTTCTGGAATTAAACAACTTATCCAGCCTTTACAGGAGTCTGGCATATTAGTTATGCGGACTGATGAAGAGGTTCGCTCACTTTGCTTGATATCTTCTTCATAGCTATTGTAGAGGCCACATTATAATCGTCAATGGGGCTTTCCTTAAGTAGTCCCCTACATTTTGACCATTGTCTGTTTATAGCTGCTTCAATCGTTAGGGTCCTTCATTGTTGTGGAAAGAGAAGGTCAAATAATTGCTTGCGCTGCACTTTTTCCTTTCTTTGAAGAGAAGTGTGGAGAGGTTGCTGCAATTGCAGTATCCCCTGATTGTAGAGGCCAAGGACAGGGAGACAAATTACTCGGTATGATATGCTAGTATTGCCTCTGTGGACTGACATTCTTGTTCTTAATTGATAGAGAACCAGTCAAGTGATTCACTATTTTGTAATATCTTGAAATTCCATGGCGATTTTATTATTGTTTATTCTGGCTTGTATCTGGTTTTTTTCATGGGTTAACATTAATAAAAAATGTTTGAAACTTTGAATTATGACTACTGTTCCCTTTTGCTTCTCTTATCAATTCGTTCCTTTAGGGTCGTCAAGTTTTTACCTTTCATTTCAATCTTCCATTCATTTACTGTGGTTCTACAGAAGTTCCCAACATAGTATAAATTATTAATGATTTAAGGACTCTTTCAAAGTTTTCAATGCCTTTTATTTTCTGATACATAGAAAGGATCCCGTTGTTTTTGTACTTCTAGTGTACACTACTTTTGCTCTCATATTTCAGCACCACAGTTTTAAACCCAGAGTCCCAGCCTGACCACTCGACCAAGTTAAATGTAAACTGGTCTGATTAAACCTTTTAAACTGACATTCTAAAAATGTCACTGACCGAATGGGCCTATACTGAACTGTCAAGACCATGCAACATGGTTTAACAGGTTCAATCAGTCCTAGGTTAATATTATTGTGATGAAACCAAAAGACAGGAAATGAAGATTCATACTTCGACCTGTGGTTGGTTACGGTACCTGAAACTGTCTTTCTGATACCAAGCTACTGACACGTGAATTGGTACCGAACTGTCCATACTGTTTATGGTTAATCTTGAACAGGTTCAACCTGTCCAAGTCTATATTATATATTATGTGATGATAGCCTGAAACTTTTAGAGAGGACATAGGATTACTTCAAACCAACACTCTTTAAGTACCTCTCGAACTACTATGCCAAGTTTGGCTTTTATTTTTGATGCACATGTAATTTATGTTGTTTTCTAAGTTAAACTGTTAAAACAAATTGAACATGGAGTTATACTTACCGTTGAATCAATCAATTAATCAATTTAAAGTGTTATAAATTTAGATGAAGTTTTTAATACTTTCATATAGTTCATGGTTAATTTAAGTAACATAACTCACTTTTTTTAGATATTTATGCACTGATGTGCATTGTATTTGTCTAACATGTTGCTACTTACATACGTTTATAAGCGTAGACATATTAAACCATGGTTTAACCTTAAATTTCTCACTTTGCCATTTCAATCGCTAATTTAATTTTGAAAGCATTAAGTTTTGGGAAGTTCATTTGTTATAATAGCAAACGTCAACTCATTCATCTTGATATTCCTTACTACGGGTATTCGATCTAAAAGCATAAAACCACACTCCTCTTCCTTTTTTTGTTATTCTTTTCCTATTTTGTCTTTGAAAAGTAGTGAATCCTATTAGGCTTGTAGGTTCTTGTATATGTTTAGTGGCTGACTAGTTCCTTATGCAATTCTCCATGGATCAGAAATTGTTTGCAAATATCAGACCATAACGTATAATTTCAAGGGGAAAATTGTTTCCGATTGCATTCAGAAACTACTTTTAGGGTGTAGTGTGAAGTCTATGCAGTGCATGGTAAACCATATTTTTGAGCTGCCGTTTAATTATAATCTTTGGGTGCTTTCGTTCATAATAGTATTTATCTCATGTTTTGCCTGTATTGTTTAATGTTATGATCAAATGTAACAGATTATATAGAGAAGAAGGCATCATATCTTGGATTTGAAATGCTTTTCTTGCTTACAACTCGTACAGCAGATTGGTACGTACTTTGGACATCAAACATATGTCAATATATTTATCTAGAATCACGTCATTTTCTTCTTTCAGTGTATTGTTACTTACTGCATGCTCTATCTTTTCTTGGATGCTGCATATGGTTTGTTAACTCCATAAATGCTTTTCTAAAGTCAATGGATTCATAATGTGTTAACAGGTTTGTGAGACGTGGATTTTCAGAATGTTCAATTGATTTTATTCCTGAGAAGAAAAGGAAAAAGATTAATCTATCCCGCAAGTCCAAGTATTACAGGAAGAAGCTTCTACCTAATAAGAGTGGAATTACTTTTGGTAGCAATTTTTCTTCCCATTAGCATATCTTTTTGTTCACTGGGGAAAGGTTAGTTAGATAAAGCGTTTGGCATTTTCTTAGAGTGTAGGTAATAATCTCATAATTATATGTTTTCTGGAAAATCAATAGCTATTACAAGTTTTCTACCTCCCAGTTTTGTGTTATTTATAGTTATTTAATTTCCAAATTAAGAGTTTTTTCTCTCGCAAATCAGTTATTGAATAATATTGATTTGCTATATGTTACATATATATGAACTGATTTTTCTTGTGATAAGGAAATTAACACAGGTGAAATAATGAAGAGAGGTAATTAAATAAAGCAGGATTTACAAAGTTCAATATTTAAACAAATACTTTACTAACAAAGGACTCTTGGAGGTTTATAAACTAGAGACTTGACCTAAATGGGAAGTCTGTGACTCAGCTTTCGGTCTGCAATATCCATTGTTGAAAGTGAAAGGGTTTTAGTGTGCATGTTTGTTGTATTAGTATTATAGCAGTCTGGGGTATCAACCGAAGGCAAGCACACAATTTATGGTTGTATAAACTATAGTATTGCCATTCAGCACAGCGCAATCATCCTCATAACCAAAATAATTTTTTACGTACTTTTTTGTTATTTTTTTCATAAGTTCTTTATTATAATTATTCATTATTTTTAATTTTATAGATTGATAATTTGAAGTTTTAAAAAAATTAGTGTTATTGAATAATGTTTGAATAGTTTTTATATTTAATTTATTTGTTTGTTAAATTATGTAGATTGATATTTTAATTTTTAACTAGTGTATTTATAATAATGTTTAGTAAATAAGTGAATATTTTAATTGTATTATAATAAATATATATAATAAATTGAAAGAATAAAATATTATTGAGTAAACTCTTATAATCCGTTTAACTCCTAGTGAATCGAGTTATGTTACAAAGTTTCTTAATCATTAACAAGTAAATTGGGTTGAACTAACTTAATTTTAGCTCAACTATGATGAATAACTCGTATGAGTAATTGAGTCACTTTCACACCTCTAAATAATCTAATGTCATCTTTCACCTTTGTGACTATTACTCTCTTTACTTACATTGTCATTAGGTACATATTTTATTTTAAATTGTTAAACTTATGAGCTTTATTATTTATAATTATAATTATTAGATAAGTAACTTTTTATAAGGTTAACCATGTTCCTGAATATGATATAGGAATGTCAAAATGGTGTAGCCTGTCGGATTCGACTAATCAACCCGATACGAAAAAAGTGAATCGGATAACGTATTTTAACCCGTCAGTTCGGAGAAGTCCAGCACAACATTGATTAATACATAAACAATCCGCAACCCGTTTTATCTATCAGTGATTAATTTGTGTTGGATTGTTGTTATCCAATTAAACATACATTGTGAACCCTTTCATTATGTAACGGAGAGTTAATCACAGGGGTAGTGCTCAAATGGTTCCAATCACCTCCCATTTAGAAATCTGCAGAACTTATCAGTAATCCTTAATGAGCTTAAGGCCTTGTGATTATCAACTTCTCACATCTTTTGTTTGAATAAAGATACGTTTAGGTGATATGCTATACATATATGACACTGTAGTTAAATGAACTATTTGCACAAAACATTACATAAACTAACTTCAAAAAGAAAAAATGAGAAAAATGAAACACCATTACTTTTTGTATAAACCATTCCACGTAAAATTTATCTTATCAACTTCCTTTAAAAATTTATTTTTAATTTAATGGTAAAATATGAATTGTGTTTCAGTAGACTGTAGACTGCATTACTTACTTTTTAATTTTTAAAATATGATTTTTATTTTTTATCTTGTCCACCACTACTTGCTAGTTTACAACCATCAGATAATGTTATTTCTAATATCCAGTGGCACTGGGTATGTAAGAGCCTGAAAATAATAAGGCTATTGGGCCTTATGTTGAGACAGTCAGCCCATAAGCTAAGGACCCATGATCTTAGAAAAGAGTTTTCTAAAAATCAGAATTACTTCATTTTGTCAGCTTTCTTTCTCTCTCTAAAACCCTTGCCCTAAAATTCTCTCTGCCTTCTCTCTAGATTTTCTCTTCACTGTACCGATCAAATTTTGATTTGAAGGTGTTTCCGCGCTTGCTGCACCAAGGGCTTCAGTTTGAACCGAACGTTTTTCCATTCCGACCGGTAAGTGTTTTTTTTTTCCTTTTCTTCAACCGTTCTTGAACCTAAGCCATGCAACTTGCTGGTTGCCTGTTACTGGTAGCTTTTCCTTTAGTTTCTCTGTCCCTTCCAACTCTAAGAAATGTGCTCTGCACCAATTTTTGGTGGCTTATAGGTGCTGTCAAACTCGCCTCTGTGAGGAGGTACTGCTAGAGCGTTCCTAGGAGTGGTACTGTTAAGCTTTCCAGGTAAGGGGAGCTAATTATTTTTGTATGAATTTATTTTATAAAAATACATGCATATGAATGTTGAACTGGTGTGCTCTTGTGGAATTGTTTTATGACTTTTATTATATTGGGTGTTATAACTGAAACTGTGAAATTGTGCATGTTGTGATGTGATGAATTTAATCTGTTTTGAATGAGTTTGTTGGATGAAATTGATCTTGTTGGAAGGTCTGGAGTAAGGGTTATGTAATAGCATGTATATGGGTATTAAACATATGTACAGGTACTGTTTGAGGTTGCTGTGAGAGGAAATGAAAATATTAAAATTAGGCATTTCAGATTTAGAGCATAAGAGAACATGGTAGATAATTTAAATAAATTAATTGTTAATTCTTGAGAGCCTTTCTTTGTTGGTAGGATAGAGGAACCTTAAAAACCTGAGTTGGCACATCCCTGATCATAGAGCAGCCTTGGCCTGGTCCAGTAAGTTGTGACTAGTCATATGTGCTGGCGTCGAAGGTGAGTTTGATGCGTTTAGACATTTGGGTCCTCTCCGGTGACCAATTGGGGTAAATAAAGATCTCTACTAGGATGAAAATAAAATAAAACAAGTTAATTGTAGATACATAAAGTTATCATGTGTTAATTTTCAGTCAATTATAATTTTAGAAAATCAGTCACTGTGTGTTTGAAATTTAAAGTAAGGATCCATATATAAAATATATATATATATATATATATATATATATATAATAATAATAATAATAATATAATGTAAAGATAAAATACGTAATATATATATATATATATATATATATAT